AAGTCAACTCTCTTCGCTTTTTGTTTCAATTTATTTCAGTTTTGTTTTATTCGAAAATGGAGCTTAGATCTAAGGTGGTATTCATGAAGTTTCTGTATTGAAGAATATTAAATGTTATTTCAAATTGATTTCAAAAATTGAATTGAATTGAAAGTGTTTCAAATGTATAAAAGTGTAAGTTCAGTTATTGTGTTCATTTAAACGCATCCAGTTCAACTATTTGTTAATGAGTTTATCAACTTATGCAAATATGCGATGTATGATTGTCACTTCTTCAAACGGTGAACATTTTTCATGTGTCGATCGGCATCACCTTTCCTGGCAAAGCTTGCTGCACACACTTTGCATTGAATCCGCTCTCCGGTGTGATCTTTTCGCATGTGAATCTTCAACGTATATTTCGAACGAGAATGCTCGTTACACAAATGGCATTGATACTGACGGTAGCCACAGCTATCTTCATGAACCTCTTTTGCATCTTCGGTTGCGTATCCTCCGAAGCACTTGGAGCATTGGAATAGGAATTGGTCGCTGTGTGCTGTAGACAAATGCTGATTTAAATAAATCTGTTCGGAGAATTGTTTGCTGCAAATTTCACATTTGATCGATCTTGTGGCTCCGTGTTTCGATTGCATGTGCCGCTTCAAGTTATGCTTGTGAACAGTTTGGTAATGACACTGATTACATGCGAAAAGACTTCGTTGGCAGCGCGTTTCGTGTGTTTGCTTATCTTCTGTAGTGGCAAATCGTCGGCCGCATTTCGAACAAGCATTCGGCGGTCCATCGATGTGGGTCATTGAATGACTTTGGAGACGAGCGTTGGTTGTAACCGACTTGAAACAAATTGAGCACTCGAACGGCTTTTCTCCGCTGTGTGTCCGCATATGAACTGTCAAACTGGATTTCACTACAGTGTGATATCCGCAAATATCGCATTCGAATTGCTGAGGACTACATAGCCTTTCATGATCGATCTTGACTGATTCGTGTTCGAATCCTTGATTACATTTTAAACAACGACATCGGCTATGCGTTTCCTTATGCTTGTTCAAATCACCTTTTCGTGCAAAGGACTTCAAACAAACATCACACTGAAACGGCTTTTCTCCAGTGTGAGTTCGCAAGTGTAGTTTGAGGTTAAACTTGTCTCTTGCCAAGTGATTACAGACATGACATTTGTGCTTCTTTTGCATTTTGGCCGCTTGATTCCTGGGAATCGTTCGATTGTTTCGTCTTTTGGAACTTCCATTCCCCTTCTTCTTACTACCGACAGGTTGTGGTGGTTGAATGTCGACTGCATCACCCATGTGCTCTTCTTTGTCATCATCGTTTGCGGCAGCGGTGTCATTCGATCGTTCACGAGGTGCCGAGTCCTTTTCCGTGCCCGTCTCTTCTTCCTTCAAACACGTGTTTGTCGCGTCTACAGCAAAGACGATAAAATGCGTACCAAAAGTTCACCTAAGCCATTGTTTAAGATTATTGGCTGTCAATTTTTATAAAAATCCGCTGAATTTATCAATTTTACGACCGAAATACCAAATTTCATACTCAAAAATGGACATCTGAATAAATGAAAAATATCCAACACTTACGTTTGTCGTCGCCTTTTTTCTGCTGAAAATTTTTTTTTCCACGTAATTTTCAAGATGTCTGCCTCAATGGGTGGCTGAGAGAACAATCTAGAACAACGCGCAGTTTGTAAGCTACGGCATCGGTGCTAAAAGTCACACACTTGCAAATGTCCTATTTGTGTTGGTTTGTTTCGTTGAGTTCTCAACGACACAAAGTGACGCTTCATCCCGATTCGTAGCTGTCAATTGCGCCAATTCAGAGCTCAGTTCAAAAATGTCGGTTAAATTCATGCAGAATTTTTCTTTTTCGATTTCTAATTTGTTGAAATAAATGTTTTGAAACGAAACGTTTTGTTCTTTGGAAATAATGATCATTCTGCTATTGAAGCTATGAAACTTTCGATTCTACCGATAAATGATATCGTCACTTGTCCGAACAGGAGGGGTTTCACGAATTCATTGAGTCGAAGCAAAGAAACCGAATGGATGGCTAAAAATTGACAGCAAAGTCGATTGAAACGACGCACATTTTGGTGCCTGCATTCCGCATAATAGAGAGATGTTTATTGGTCAAACAATAACAAACTCATTCGGTGTGCTTATGTTAAAATGTAAACAAATTTGTAGCGCAGAATCATACATGGATCGCGAACACAACAAGTGCTACTTCAGATTCTGGCTCAACGAATGCATTTAGTCGAAATAATTTCATTTTGTTGATTAATAAAATTTTGAAGATCTGATCGAATTGAAACACTTGGATTTACGCTGTCTTTCTGTACAAAAGTTAGATGTGTGATTCATGGCACATATGAGTATAGATTATGTGCAGAATACAATTCGACCATTCCACACCAAGTGTAACAAAAATTGCAGATGACCTCTCCGATTTCGCTCAAACTTGGTGTACAAACTTCTTATGGCCAAAAACTCGCAAAGCCAAAAAATTAGGGTGACCTTCCCCACCTGATGAAAAGTTAGGGTGACCTAAATATTGAAAAAAATGAAAAATGGCACTTTTTGA